AAAAACTAACCAAAATTTAGATGAAATAGAAAGAGAAAGAGAAAAAAAGATGAAATTTCGACATGCATTTGTAGTATATCTTCCATGATGACATCTCACAATCTTATCAATTTTCTTTGATGCGTATTTGTTGAAAGTGATGTGTCTAAATTTTTTTGCGATAATTTTTGCATAAGAAAAGAAAAGTTCGAAAGATAGAATTATCTTATTTGTTTTTACTCTTCGAAAACATTAATAGCAATTTTAATTGCATTATTAATTGTAAATGAGAAGGAAAAGTAAAGATTGAATATTTCAAAAGTTATCAAAACAATTATTAAATTTCAGGATTACTTCTTATTACTCTCTTATCATTGTTAATTTTTAATTTTCATCTATCAATCATTGTGCCGTTTCATTTGGCCTAATTCATTTTAAATTTATCAAAATCCCTCTTTTCATCCTTTCTTCTTCTCATTTATTTTCTCGATTTTGTTATTATGTTTCTTTTGTTTCTATTCATAATCATTAAAAGAAAAAAAAAATGATTCTCATCAACTATTTTGTTATTAAATTTATGTGATAATTTTTCCAGAAATTTCACATTATTTTAATTTATTGTTTCAATTTGATCACTGAATTTATTATTATCATTATTATCACTACGATATCGTTCGACATATCACAATCAACCGTACTAATTGATTAATAACGATTATTGGTCAACGTTATTAATATTGGATTAGTAGCGATGAAATTCAATTTTCTCTTACTTCTGCTATTCGCAATTATCACTGATACGGAAGGTTTGTTCTCTAAAAAATTTCCAATCTTATCTCGCTGAATTAATTTAGACTAAAAATGAATGATAATATAGAGTGATTAAGTAAAACCTTTACTAATATCCTGAATTTATCGGAAACGGTTTCAATTAATTTAGTTAGCAGGAAGAAATCGAAATAATTAAAGAAATCATTAGCTGAAATGGATCGTTTAACTTAAATAGGCTAACTCTTCGATAGTCTAATTATAGTCAATTCAAATTAAACAATCCATTTCACTTAACGATTTCTTATTAATCTTTTGCCTGTATCAATTTAGATAAAATCTTACACTTTCATAATTCTTCCTATACTTTCTAAATTTTTTATTATATCCTATCGCTTCAATTAGTTTTAAACAATAATAAAATGTTAATTTATTATAAAGTAAATTTATCGCTTTCTTTTTCAGTTCTTTTTTCGATTTAAATTGGTTTGTGAAATATTCTCATTGCTTAGAAATTTTTGTATTTTATAGGATATGTAAAATATAATGAGAGAGATATGGTTTAAGTGTAAATCATTGAGAAAGTTTAAAAATGAATGCAAATTAATAGTTTAATTGGCATTGATACTACTGATAATAGTTCGTCTGATAATTCTGGTAGTAATTGAAAATTAAAATGAATTTCGAAGTAATTAAAATAGGAAATGATTTCTATTAATTTCAAATAAATTTTTTAAATGTTGAATAATGCATTTAACATGTAATATCATTTAAAGGAATTAAAAGACAATTTGCTTTATTCATAACCTTCGAGAATTTTCCAAACTTTTGCCGATAGCTTTATTAGTTATTAGTTTATTATAATTAAATAAAAAATAGCACGAAATAAATATAAGTTATTTATGTGTGAAAAATATTTTTAAATGACTTTTGAATTTTAAAATAAATTATGTATTTAATTTAAGTACAAATATTTCAATATATATGAAATAATTTGTAACTGATAGAATTCTACATATCACAGATAATTAATTATTCATTGAAAGGATTAATTATTTATCTCAAATTTCAAAAAGAAACAAAACAATTAAATTAAAAAATAGCAAGAAATAAATATAAGTTATTTATGTGTGGAAATTATTTCTAAATGACTTTTGAATTTTAAAATATTTATTGAATTAATAATTATAATTTGTTTGCTTGAAATTACTTCTCTTCCAATTGTTATTGTTTATTGATAATTTAAATTAAATTTCGCGAAACTGAAATGATAGCAATAAAGTAAATTGAGTTGCAAATAAGGCTGTCTATCTTATTGTTCAATATTTCGTAGAGAAAATATAATTTAAAGAATGGAATCAATGATTATTATTTGGCGATATTTTTTCAACTAAGGCTGTCACTCTTGAGAGAAAAGAATAGCATAAAATTAAATAATATTTTTAACTTTCAAATTTAAATTTAGATGAACAACAAATTTTATTTACATTAAAATTTGAACGGATGATAGAAGAATAGAGGAAAGAAATTAAAGAAGCATCAAAATTGGTTAAAGGTTAAAAAAATCATCAAGTAATTATTACAGTAATATTTAAGTAATAATAGAACAAATTCCTATCACATAACTATTACTGCTAATATTGTCGGCTTATAAATTTTAAAACAATCAAAAATGTATTTGATTTTCATTTATTCTTAGGCCAATAAAATAATGATAAAATCGATTGATTTTTTCCGGAAGTAATCGAAATCGATAAGTTTAGCAATTAGTGAATTATATGAAATAATTAGCATCAGGTATTCATCAGGTAATGCATTGCAAAATCTTAGAGAAAATTTAAACCAACACTCGGATCATTTTATCATTGGAAAGCATTCTATTATCTTTAATTGAATAAATTAATGATTATTGGGTGATTGTGCTTTTTCCTTTAATTACTAAAACATATAATTATCGGATCAAAAATTTCCAAAATTGAGTAATTTTCCCTCAACTAATGATTATTTATTTGTTTATAACATTTGATTTGATCATTTTTAAATTTTACTCAAAATTATCCAAACAGAATTGATAAGTTTGTTATCAATTATCGATGGAACTTTTCAAATAAATAAATAAAAGGAGATGTATGAAGTTTTCTTCCAATATTTGTTAATAATGATATGGTACTTTATACTTGATTAAATTACGTGATCGATCATCAATGGATCTTATTATTCAATTGATCAGAGAATTAATTTAGATCAGATTTATAGGCATTTTAAAATATAATTTAAGTATTTTATATTTCTGATATTGTTATTTAAATGAAGAATATTTAAATTATCAAAATTTCAAATAAATTTAGGTGCAACTATTGACGAAAACAATGATATCAAATTGGATAATGACAGATTGACTTCTTCATTTCTAAATAACACAAACGATTACGATGGTTTTAATACAAGCGATAAGTCTATTATATTTGCCAATGAAATCACTGATATGAGTTCTACCGGGAAAATCTCTTCTACATTCAATAAAATCGAAGAATTGGAAAACAATATTGCTATATCAAATAATGATAATGTATTTATCAATCATTCAAACAATAATTTCACCATTACGGAATCCATCAAAAATATCACTGAAAAATTGACGAGAAAGAATATAATCAAAAAATCGACAATACATCGTTTTGAGAAATCTCGGAAAGCATTTAATGATAGCTTTCTAGAAGAATCTGAAAAAATCCCGGAGAGTACTTGTCATGATAATCAAAAATTATGCAAATTTTGGGCATCCATTGGTGAATGTATTACAAATAAGAAATGGATGGAATCTAATTGTCCGGTTTCATGTAGTAATTGTCAAAGTAAGCAATTTCCTTTCTTCTTCTTTTTCATTGTTCCCATCTTATCAATGATAAAAATTAAATGAATTATGGACGGATTGAATAATAATTTATTTGAGAGCGCGATATGCAACGATACCTAGTGATATCAGATATGCAATGGTACCTAATAGTGTCAAGTATATAATATTTTTGCATATCGTATAATATCAATGTGAATCATTTCGTATTAAGTGAAATTATCATCTTATCTTTTAAAATTATTCTTTTATTAAAACAATAGACAGCGTTATCACTATTATTTCTTTATCATTTTTTTTCATTAAGAAATCTTTCCAAACGACAGTCTTTACAATTTCTCAGATAATTTCTATTTGGAAAGAAAAGAAATTTCATTAAGATTTTCATTCGATCTTTTCATCAATTAGAATTTTCCATTAATTTAGTAAGACTAAAAGTTTTAAGATTTTTTTCTATGTTTGCTAATTATTACATTTTTTTTGTTTCTCTCCTAAATACAATTACTTTTCTAATTTTGCTTTTCTTTTCTGTAACCAATTGAAATTCTTATAGAAATTTAACTAACTTTAAGCTTAAATTTATTGATAAAATTCGATCATTTTTTTCATCTCTTAATTAATGATAAGATAAGAATAAACAGTTTACAGTAATATTTATTGTCACTTTGTTGAATTTGTTGACAATTGATTATATTGGAGGAGAAAAATTGATTCGATCAGAAGAACATTTAGTCGCGATAATTAAAACTTTTTACTCTCTTTTAATTTTTGTTTTTCTTCTTCCGATCATTTTTTATTATCAACTAAATTTTCGACGATACATTAAACGTATTTCAATTATTTAAAAGAAATATATTTGTATATTGAAGAAATTAATGAATTGATAACACTTTTAAGTTATTATATATTTAAGTTATTATATATTGATAACACTTTTAAGTTATAATTGATAATACTTTTAAGTTATTATACATTCATATTAAATACATTAAAATTTTCCTTTTTAATACAAATTTGTTGCAGAAAAAAAAATCGATCACTTTTATTATTACTAAATTTCGACAATGTTGTATACAGTGAAAATTTAGTTTTTAAAAAGAAAGTGATCGAATTTTTTTGTTTCACTGAAAATTTGATAATTATGAAATGATAATAAGAAATCTTAATTAATGAGATTTTTAAATGAATTAAAAATTATCAATTTTTTAATTCTTTTTTTTTTTGCTAAATTATTAATTTCAAATATCCAAAAATTGGTACCTTTTATTTTAAAGATAATTTTTTGCATTTTAATTAATATTTATTATCATTTACTGATAAGTTCATTTGCTCAGCCAATGTAAAATGCACGAATAAGCATGCATTATGCTCAATTTGGTCAGCTAATGGTGAATGTGAAATGAATGCAGTATGGATGCATGTTAATTGTCCTCAATCATGCATGCTCTGTAATGGTACTCATTTGAATTTCAGTAAGTCTTAAAAAAAAAAGTAATTTAATTTGCAAATTAAAATACCATTCAAAATACATAAATTAGGAAATTTTAGGATAAATTGAAAAAGTAAAAATGCAAAGAATATTATTGAATTTCTATTTATTAATAAGAAAAGAAATAATTGAAAAAGATAGCATAAATTTAAGTTAGTGTTGCTCAAAAATAAAAATAAGAAATTAAATTTGATATTCAAATTACGATATCGAATTTAATTTCTTATTTTTGTATAAAATAAAATATTTCCTTTTCCTTTTTATCATAAATTAATTAAAATTAAATTTTACACTCATTAATTGATTGTAAATTTCAATTTTTCTTTTACAGATCAAACGAAAGATTTTAATTTTTTGCCACAAAGAAAGGAAGATTGTCCTATTATAACAAAAGAAGGTTGAATTAATTTATTATAAATTATTTACAAAATAATTTATTACCTTTTCCTTATTATTATTATTATTATTATTATTCAAAAATAAATAAAGAACATCGATTCTTTTTTTCTTAATTTGATAAAATAAATTTTTGAAAAATTTTACAGATACATCAATACGTCAAACAATATCGATCGTTGATGTGCGGAAAAATAATGCTCGATTTGGATGTGTCCCACAATTACATCAAAATAATTGCAAAAAAAATTTATGTTATCATCTTCGATATCGAACTTTTGATGGTACATGCAATAATTTACAATCACCACAAAATGGTGCGGCTTTTTCATCGTACATACGTTTAGAACCACCGCGATACGATAATGGAGTTGGTGCGCCAACATGTAAGTTTATTACATAATTAACACATAATTAATTTTAATTATATGCAATATATTTGTAGATAAATTTTGAAAAGAAAAAATTTGATTAATTCTTTTGATGGTATATGCAAATAATTTGCAAATTAAAATAAAATTGTGTAGCTTTAAATTAAGAAATATTTATTTACCCCTTTACAGTAGTAATTTTGAACACTTTTTGACCATTTCACTTCTTGAGTGGTCATCTATCTTACAAATGGACATTATTTTGAGAAGTGAAGATAACATAAAGAATTTGTGATAATTCATATTTCAGACGAATGAAATCAAGTAAATAGGCTAGCAGATTTTTTTTCGTTTTGCAGCGTCAATTCGAAAAACACGTCCATTGGCACGAGAAGCTTCACGTTTAATGCTCACGTCAGATGCTGAAGTTAGTATTGCGTGATGGAATGTTCAAATAATTTATATTTTTAATAATTAAAATGACAAACAAAAAACAATTAAAAAATTAAACTAAAATAACAATCAAATATTTACTCATTTAAATTTTTTAATAAAAGATTGATAATTTGTCTTATCTTTTTTCTTCCTTAACTTTTATTCCAATGATTATTAAAATTATGCTTACTTTTCATTTCTTATCATTGCTTATCAGTTATAAAATTATCCGTAAAAAGTAGTAGAAATTACAGCGTAAAGTTAAAAAGACATAAAGTTGAAATTTCTCACTCATTTCAATTCATTTTACAAATTTCATAAATATACAACTAAAATTAAGATCAAATTTCCGCACACACACACACACACACACACACACACACCCACACACACACACACACACACACACACACACACACACACACACACAAATATCGAAGTGTCTGTTGGAGATTCGCTTTACATTTTCATGGTCATTTTAGACCATTACTAGGTTCAGTCCTTTTCAACTAAGCCTTAACAAACTGAAGTGTTTAACCGACTGGTTCAAAACATCAAATTTTGATCGATATGATTT